TTTTTTTTAAAACTAAATATTGAAGTTATTGTAAATAATCATATTACTTTTCACTCACCAATCCCCTCTTTCACACTCTTCACTTTCTCCTTTTCAATCTCTTTTTCCTGTTCAACTTGTTCTTGTTTTAGCGTTCAACCCTAATCTAACCATTTAGATGAGAAATTAAGTTGGTGATTTATTACAGATTTACGAATTATTACAGATTAGGGTTTGCGAATTATTGCAGATAATTCTTTGATAGAATGGAAGGAATTAGGAGACGAAGAGTCCGCAGGAAATGAATGGGAAGATAAAAAGATTAGAAGAAGAAAGGATTTTTTGGTTAGGCGCATAGAATTAGCTAAACATTTTCTTCGAACAAATGTAGACCCAGAATGGATGGTTTTGTGCCTATTACCAGTTCTTCCTCCTGAGTTGAGACCAATCATTCAGATAGACGGGGGTAAACTAATGAGTTCGGATATTAATGAACTCTATAGAAGAGTCATCTATCGGAACAATACTCTTACCGATCTATTAGCAACAAGTAGATCTACACCAGGGGAATTAGTAATGTGTCAGGAGAAATTGGTACAAGAGGCCGTGGATACACTTTTTGATAATGGGATGTGGACAACCCATCTCCCAACACTATATGCACTTTCAATGGTGAATGTTTCGCCATCAGCACATTGGATATAGTGTGAATCTTCATGCACATTTGAATGATAAACTTCTAGAATTAAATTCAGAAATAACATAACTCTAATTTAAGTAAATTTATAGTCAAATTAAAAGCCTCACAAGATGAAGTCACCCAACAACAATCTCCTCACTATCATCATTTGACTTTGATCTCCTGAATATATCGCTTGATTATGATCTTTCAAGAACCAATTATTGACTATGATTTATTGACCATCGTAAATTAACAATAGTCTCATTATCAACATTTGCCCTACTATTGTTGTCCAACAACACCAGCACCTCCCGACTTCATAACCGGTCATCACTAATAATGTCGAAGCTTGTCATCATTTATAATTCATATGCATACTATTTATTCATGGCATTCCCTATAAGATTGATATACATCATCGATAAAAATGCTGATGCTCAACAACTTAGTTACTTGTCTTTGCTAATAACTCCGATGAATGTCATTGCTAACAAAATTGATTCATATCATTGACACTAACATAAATATCAATATTATACCAGAGAACTTGCTCTTTGATCTCCTCTCCTTAAATGAGAAGGATCAAACATATAACGAATAAGATCAAGATATCTCTGTTGCATAATGGCGCCTCGAACTTCCATTATAAAGTCCATCTTCCATAGTTTATATCTACTACATTTTGTTTGTCAACTCTTTCCCCAATTATAAGGAATGATATCATTTGTATCAAACAAAATACACAAGTTGAATAATTTCAACTTGGGCCAAGCCTCATAATTTTTTATTTTTTCGGATTTTCTACACAAAAAAACTTCAACATCTCCATTGCATTCTTATTTTATTTATATGTTAGATTTTCATATAAAATTAGGATCATCAATATTCTATCATGCAATACTTCAAAGTAGTCAAAACTTCAGCAGTAAATATCTCCTTGCAAACGCGTTTTATAGCCATCTGAATTTGTGACAATAAATACAAGATTGCCTGGTTATTTATAAAGATGCAGAGACTATTGAAATAGTTCGATGATTCCAAAACATCCCTCCTTGATTGGGCAAATTATTATGTGCGGGCACCGGACGCATTGCTGTACTTTTACTGCGCTTTTGATGCATTTTTGCAAAAGGGAAACTAATACATAATTTTAATTGCATATTAACTGCCCTTTTGCCGAGTATTTGCAAAAAAAACAGCAAAATCGCAGTAAAAGAATAGCAAATACTCAATGAGTAAGATATTTGTTGCGCTTTTACTGCACTTTTGCTATATTATTGTAAATACTCAGCAAAATGGCAGCTAATATGCAATTAAAATTATGTATTAGCTACCTTTTTGCAAAAATACATCAAAAGCGCAGCAATCCAAACGCAAAGTTGCGTCCGGTGTCCGCACATAATAATTTGCCCATCGATTGACACTAATAAAAAAACAAATAAAAGTGAGAACAAAACATGTAATTTTTGTATTATTCATACCTGTTCAGCCAGCACGAAAAGCAAATTACAAATGTCATCAACATTTTCTTGCAGAACTTTCACTTTTTTTTTTTCCCTTTGCTCCTTCAAATTAGTTATCTCAACAAGTAAGACGATATGTAAAATTGTCATACGAAAGTTCTATCAGATTTCATGAAAAAGTCTAATTTTACAAAACTAATAATATCTTCACCTGCATATCTGATAAAATATCATGAAAGATGAGTAGAGGCGTTCTCGAAAATAAGTTAATTGTAAACATTACTTCAGCTCATAAAATGAGAACGTTTGAACAGCAGAACTCGATAAGTGTTCTTCCTACAAATATCCTATACGCTGCTTAGATAAATCTACCTACAGATCACACTGTGTACTTGTTCTTGGCAGCCCTATCTAGCTTTTTTGCATCATCCTGAAATTATACAATAATATAATGTTATCAAACTTCTAGTTTAAGTGGTGCATAATGATTCAGAATGCAAAACACTTACATGAGAAATGAAACCAATTTGATCTTTGTAGTCCAGGAGTTCCTTCCATTGTCTACCAATGCACATCTTCAAATACAAATATAACCCTTATCAAACAATCAGTAGAACACCTTAAAAGGAAAAGCTGTTAAATAGCTGGAGAACTTTCTTCTTTTTTGGTAAATCAACATAATTTAAGCCAATTCTAACCATATATGAGCGCTCTTTTCTTTGAAAATTTAAAGCATCTCACAAGTTGGAATGCATTACTAGAAAGCAATGTGAAACAAAATTGATTCAAAGTAAAAAACAAAAATGGATTATCATAGTTAATAACCCTCCTCGATTGCAAGCGTCAAATGCACAAAATTACAACAACAACAACAACAACAACATCGAACCTTTATCCCACTACGTGGGGTTGGCAACATGAATCTTTTTTATCTATTGTGTTCAGTTAAAAGTCAAATTTTTGTTTAAATCTAATAAAGAAAGATCATTTCTTATATTTTCTAACCAAGTCTTTTTAGGTCTACCTCTATATTTTTTAACACAAGTTAAATCTAATACATCTACTTTCCTAACCAGGTCATCAGAAGGCCGCCATTTTATGTGACCAAGTCTTTTTAGGTATAGTGCACAAAATTGATTGAGAAAAATTAATGTTGATTTAATATCGTTTCAACATCTCATCAAGTATACTCATTTGTCAACAACACCCTAAATATCTATCATCTTCATCATTAGCTTATCCCAATTAGGGTCGGTATTATCAATAATACATGAATATTAACATTAATCATTATGCCTGCTTTTTTCAATATCACTATTACATTGTTCACATTAAATACCAAAAAAATAAAAAATGAGTATATAATTTTAAAACGAAGGATCTGATGATCACAAAAGTCAATCCGTGGGAAGTTTACATAGATCACCCCATAATAAAGGAACTAATTTAGGAAAGAGTGTATTAGGGATTTTATGTATTAAATCTGTAATTTATTGTTTCCTCATTAAGATATCTTGTATAGATCTATAAATAGGGAAGATATTACTGTATAAAGGCAAGCTTTTCCTCTCAAATTTCTGGTTTTAGCAGTTTGATTCTAGATAAACCAAAATGTAATTAATTTTAATAATGAACTAGATTATCTTTAGCTTAAATAGCATGTATTGAGAAGAATATAAGATAATCATTGCTAAAATTTATAATTTTGGAATGTGAAATAAAAATATTCATTGACTTTTGTTTCACTTATTGATATAGAGTTAGTTCCTGCGCTTTGTTGACTTAATACTCAAACAAATTAGTAAAATTTAGTTTTTTATTTGACCAGTTTACAAAAACAAAAATCAAACCAAAAACCTAAAATCAAATAAAGTCAAAATTACGATCAATAACTAAACTGATACTTCAACAACTAAACCAAATTAATCAGATAAGACTAGTTCGACTTGATATTTTAATTTTATTCAAATAATGCACATTCTTACTAAAAACATCATAGTTCTTTTGCAAAATGATTTGTTTCCTTCCGTTATATAGAAATTATTTGTGTTTTGACGGCTCCATATCACAAAGCAATGAAGTGCTCTACTCATTTCTTAAAGTATGTGTTCTATATTGCAAAATTATAAATTATTATGAAATCAAGTATAGCTTCTCTTATTGCATTTCTATATCATATTTCATAATGATCATGAATCCTCTCATAGCTCATCTTTCTATAACCTCAAATTCCATATAAGTTCCCCCAAAATCATTTCTTCCTTTGGCATATAACACAAATAGGAAGCCAAAAAAACCAGATTGTTTAGATTATCCTCTACTTCTGACCTGACTAATTAGAAAACAACTGTTTGACGGACACGGACTAAAAGGAAATGACATGTTAATCTAAAATGAAGCATCAAAATAAACAGTATCAAAAGTCCAACATAGAAACATATAACCATTTTGTTAGACCGGTCCACTGGACCGGTCCAGCCGGTCCGCATGGGACCGGCAAAAATCGCGAACAGGAGGGATCTCCGCCTCCTGCAGAGATCGGGCGAGCCGACCGTTCAAACAGAGCATTTTAGGAAGGATTTTTGGGGGGTTTAAAAGAGAAATTTGAATGTAGGGACTGTTTAGGGATTTCCTTTTGATTTGTATGCATTAAATAGTTGTTTTTCCTAGGATTTGAGCATCTTGAATTTGACTGAAATTTGAGATCTCTTAGATTGAGGTTTCTTTGGGCTCTGGCGGCGTCTAGAGATTTGGGAGAGATCGATTATCCTCTCGAATTGAGGATCAATTGTATCTTGCTGTTTTTATTCATCTACTAGTGAAATACAAGCTTTCCTTTGAATTTTATCTCAGATTTTTCCCGGACAAGTGCTGTTTTTCTGCTGTAAACAGCAGATTTCTACTGTTTTCCTGCTGTGTACAGCCATTTGGCTGCTGTTTGTTCGCCGATTTTGGTTAGGTTACTTGTGAACTCAAGTATTTCCTATCACATTTATAAACTAAACAGCAGTCACCGATAACAACAAAAATGATACCTGCACAGCTTCATTAGAAGAATTTTTTGTCCATATGGCTATCCTTTCTTGCTTTGCACGCACACTGACAACTGCTCCGCAAATTTCATCCCCATAATCAAACTGTTCACCAATCATTGCCAGCAACTAGATTGAACCAAAAAAGAAATCAAGAATTGAATAAAGTATAATATGCACTATATAACAGGAGATTGAATTGAGTTGAAAATGATAAGAGTTTAAACTTTAATGGAGATAGAAACATACAGTATACAACCAGAATGTATCTGATTTTAGTCTTTGACAAGCAATAGTCCATCTTCCTCCGTTTGCACATACCGGGTCTTCCCATTTTGGTTCAATCTTGTGTTTAAAACAGTAAAAGTCCGCTCCATTAACTAACTTGCTTGGATGATGAATATTGTTGTAAAGGCTGAAAAGAAAGATCATAATGTATTTAGTACAATGTAAAGATCATAATGATGAAAATTGTTGTAAAGGCTTTCGTTTGAGTAGATTTAAAACTGAATATATGGAATGTAATTTTAGTAATAATAGATCTAGTGGGGGGTTGTGACTTTGGGCGATCAAGTCATTAATAAGAGTACACATTTTAAATATCTTGGGTTTGTTCAGAGTGACGGTGAAATAGATGGGGATATTATTAGTGCGGACATGATCCTGATGCACCACTTATGAAGAACATTAAAGTTGACGCTCCTACCTTTGATGGCACACTCGATCCCCAGCTCTTCCTGGACTGGATCAAAGGTATGGACAGTTTCGTTAAGTGGTATGATATTTCTGAGACTAGGAAAGTCAGCTTTGCGGAGACTAAACTTACGGGTAGGGCGAGTCAGTTTTGGGCCAATTTAGAGAGTCTTAGGGAAGCTAGGAACGAGTATCCCATAGTCGATTGGCCGTCCATGAAGCAGGAACTCAAGCAGAAGTACTTACCTCAGTCATACTTCCCCCGCCTATTGGACAAGTGGAATAGGCTGACTCAAGGCAATAAACCAGTGAAGGAGTACATCGCCACTTTTGATGACTACTTGATTCGCTGCAAAGGGGAGACCTCTACCCCCCTGCGCAGATCCTGTCTATGTTTCGTACCGGGTTGCGAGAAGATCTTCGCAATGAGTTGTTTGCCCGGAACATCACTACACTGGAGAATGCCTACAGCCTGGTGTTGGATTTAGAGGAGTCCCGTTCACTGCACCCGAGTCGTTCACATGATTCTAGACCCTCCTTTAGATCTGCTGGTAGTTCCACCCCGAACACCCCTGCTACCCGTCCCACTCCTAGGAGCACGACCCGACCACCCACGGGTCCACCTACACCTAGATCTAATTTTCGTAGCAAACCTCCCCCACCGGATACCTCTCGGTCCAGTCCCAGGACCAAGTGCTTTCGATGCCAGGGGTATGTATGGGCATATCGCTTCTCAATGCTCCAGTCCTTATAAGGTTTCGATCATCGACGAAATTACTAAGGACGATCTTGAGTCCGAGGTTGATCAGATCCACCAAGTCGAGGAAGAAGGCGAGTACTTCGAGGAGGATGACGACACTGCGGTCCTCAATTGCCTTCAGAAGTTGGATACCTCTCCCATCTGCGTGGTGAGATGTGCACTATCCCACCCAACACCCACTGATGACTGGCATAAAACTTCGATTTTCCATACCTACACTAAGATCAAAGACAAAAATTGCAAAGTCATAGTGGATAGTGTTAGTTGCATAAATGATGTTTCCTCCAGCATGGTATCCCAGTTAGGTCTATCTGATGTTCCTCATCCCAACCCGTATAAGGTATCGTGGGTCAACTCCAATGCCTTGGAGGTGAAGGAACGAAGCCATGTGCGATGTGTTGACTATGAATGTTAGACAAATCTTGCTAGGTCGTCACTGAATCTACGATAATGATGTCCACATTTATGGGCGTTCAAACACCTGCGTGTTTGAACATGCTGGCAAAAAGATTAAGCTTTTGCCATCGCAATCCCGGGTTACGGATACCACGAAATCCAACCCAGTCAAATCTAAGAAAGGCGTGAACCTTGTCACTGCCAAGGTCCTGACTGCTGAGATTGCTCAAGGCGCCCCTCTGTTTGCCTTAGTAGGCCGTGAGATTTCCACCGAATCTGACGAGCCCATTCTTGAGGAGGTGCAGCCTATTTTAGGACAGTATGCTGATGCCTCTCCCGATGATCTTCCAGATAAGTTACCCCCATTTAGAGACATTCAGCATGCTATCGACTTCATCCCTGGAGCCTCCCTTCCAAACCTGCCCCATTATCTCATGAACCCCACGGAACATGCTGAGCTCAAGAACCAGGTCGACGAGTTACTGCAGCGATGCTTCATTAAGGAGAGTCTTAGTCCCTGTGCGGTGCCGGCCCTTCTCACACTGAAGAAGGACGAATCTTGGAGAATGGGTATTAATAGACGTGCAATTAACAAGATCATCGTCAAATAATCGATTCCCTATCTCGAGGCTCGATGACATACTCGATATGATGACGGGTGCCACACTATTCTCCAAAATTGATCTCAAAAGTGAGTACTGCCAAATCCGGATCCGACCCGTTAATGAGTGGAAAACTGCCTTCAAGACCAAGGATGGTCTCTATGAGTGATTAGTCATGCCTTTTGGGCTCAGTAATGCCCCGAGCACTTTTATGAGGATCATGACTCAAGTACTGCGTCCTTTTATTGGAAAGTTTGTCGTCGTCTACATTGATAACATCCTTATTTACAATCGATCCACTAGCCAGCAGTTAGACCACTTAAGGCAAGTTTGTGAGGTCTTAAGGAAGGAGCAATTATATGCCAATCCGAAGAAATGCACCTTCCTAGTATATCGCGTCATTTTTCTGGGCTTCATCGTTTCAGCCCAAGGGGTTTCCGCAGACCCCGAGAAGGTGAGGGCCATTGTAGAATGGCCTATCCCTCAGACTATCCGGGAAGTCCGTAGCTTCCATGGATTAGCCACCTTCTATAGAAGATTCATACGGAACTTCAGTACTATTGTTTCTCCTATCACTGATTGCCTGAAGAAGGGTGATTTCCACTGGACCCTGGCTGCCACCCAAGCTTTTGATGAGATCAAACAAAAGATGGTGGAAGCCCCAGTGATGCGACTTCCTGATTTCTCCAAAGTCTTCGAAATGACTTGCGACGCTTCGGGGGTCGGAATTGTAAGAGTCCCTCCCAGGAAGGTCACACAGTTGCATACTTCAGTGAAAAGTTAAATGATATCCGGCAGCGCTACTCCACGTATGACAAAGAGTTCTACACCGTGATCAAATCTCTTCGCTATTGGCGACACTACTTGCTCCCACAAGAGTTCATCATTTTCTCGGATCACGAAGCGCTGCGTTATATCAACTCCCAAAAGAAGTTGAATGCACGCCATGGTCGATGGGTTGAGTTCCTTTAGGAATACACGTACACCCTTAGACATAAGGCGGGAGTTGAAAATAAAACTGTCGATGCTCTCAGTCGTCGTATGATGACCACCACTGAAATGAGAGCAGAAGTCGTGGGATTTGACCAAATAAAGAGGGATTATTTAGAATGCCCCGACTTCAAGGAGACCTACACTCTCTTGTCCATAGGTAGCACGCGCATTGTAGACGATTTCCTATTGGAGGATGGTTATCTCTTCAAAGCCCAGATGCTTTGCATTATGAGCGACTCCCTTAGGGAATTTCTGGTCTGGGAACTCCACGTCGGGGGCCTTGTTGGGCACTTCGGACGGGACAAGACTATCGAAGCCGTGGAGTACTGTTTCTTTTAGCCCAGCCTGAAGAGAGATGTTGGTCGGCTGGTTAGTCGATGTCACACCTGCCAACTGGCCAAGCAACGTAAGTAGAACACTGGTCTTTACACTCCCCTACCTGTCCCCAGTTGTCCGTGGCAGGATGTTAGTATGAATTTTATCTTAGGCCTGCCCAAGACACTCCGTAGGCACGATGCCATTTGTGTGGTAGTTGATCGATTTTCCAAAATGACGCATTTCATTCCTTGTTCTAAAACATCTGATGCCTCTCACATTGCGAAGTTATACTTTAATGAGGTCGTCCGTTTACATGGTTTACCCAAAACCATTGTATCAGATAGGGATGTGAAGTTCACTAGTTATTTTTGGAAAACCCTGTGGATGAAAATGGGCACCAAACTTCAATTTTTCACTGCATTTCACCCACAGACGGATGGTCAGACCGAGGTAGTTAATAGGAGTCTAGGTAATTTGTTACGGTCCCTGGTTGGTGAGCACATTAGAGATTGGGATTCAACTCTACCTACTGCTGAGTTTGCATATAATAATTCCATTAACCGAACAACGGGTCTAAGTCCTTCTGAAATTGTGCACGGGTTCAAACCTAGACAACCGTTAGATCTGATACCCATGAGCTCTAGGTATAGGATTTCTGAGCATCAGCATTTGCATGAACTTCATAAGGATATTGCACAACAAATTGAAAGGAATAATCATGAATATAAATTACATGCAGATTTAAAATAATGTTTTAAAACTTTTGAGGTTGGTGACTCTGTGATGGTACGGATTCGTCCGGAACGATTCCCTCCAGGAATAGTTAAGAAATTGCATGCAAAGAGTGCTGGACCTTTCAAGATACTTAAGAAAATTAACAACAATGCCTATGTAGTAGATCTGCCTGCATAGTTCAATATAAATCCCTCTTTTAACATAGAAGACTTAGTGACATATGAAGGTCCTGATTTTAACCCACCAAATCCACTTTTAAAACAGCCTTGTATGAACCCACCTTGTGAGATCCCGAACCTATCTCCACTATCAGATATTCCCAAATTTCCCATGGCAGAGCAAGTGGTTAAGTGATGAAATCATATCCACAAGAGAAGGAGGTATTTGATCAGGTAGAAAGGAAAGCCCGAGTCAGAGGATACGTGGCTAGATCGCGAGGAGTTGCAGCAGATTGACCCGGATGCACTAGAGATCTACGAGAGCGCCAGAGATACTTACTCGACGGAGACGAGTTTTCTCCCACCCCAGGAGAATGATGGGGACATCAGATCATGAAAAGTTTATCAGAGACATGGCCGCCGATCTACGGCCACGATCGAGTCATTGTATTTTTTAGTCCTTTTGTTATTTCATTATTTATGTATGTTTTTTTTTTCTTATTGTTATTTTGGTATTTCCGTTTGTACCCCTTTGATGGGATGTGTCATGTATGAGCCCAAAGGGCACTTGAGTCTTTTAGTCTTTGAGTCCATTGTACTTGGCTATATATAGCCCTTTGCTTATTGTTTCAAGGTTAATGAATGATTACTTATTACAAAAGATCTTCTTCTTGCATGAGTATTGAGAGAGAGCTTTAGAGCTCTAATGGAGAGAGTTCCCTAGGAGAGGGAGAAACGCGCACTACCCACCAACCTAGAT